ATGCAAGATCTGAAACCGTAAAACCCCACAATGTGTCTTTTCTACTTCCGAAACAGATCATACAATGATAAATTCAGCACCGGTATTTTATTGCCGTAATAACGGTACTATATGGTAATGCGCACGTAATTTTTGGTATTCATCGAATTGAGATTGTGAACTACATAGTATTTCATCGTTGTTTAGAGATGGTGGATGCAATATCACGACCTGTGATAGCGATCTGATCTCTGATTCTCCCGTGTTTCTCGATCACCTGGTATGGATCAGGAAGAACAACCGGTTAGTCAAGAGAAAGTAAATTGTTCAGTGAAAGTACCGGAGTTTAGCCTGACTACGATCGAGAGTATCTGAAAGCGAAATTGCTTAGCAAGCGAAGGTGTACCACTGAACTAACACACCGTTTAAAGTGAAGTTACTTCACCGAAGGTGGCAATGACTTAAACAAAGATAAAAGACCTAGCTAAAGAAGTGGATATCGAAGAGCCTGGCAGAATCTATGCTACAAAAGAGAAGGAATCACGAGCGAATGCTCCAAGCAACCAATCCTGCAACCATGCGAAAGCATACATGCAGAACAGGCAGACCAAAGGTGGTGACAACTCTCGAGCATGTTACACTGTCGGTCTCAAGCCATTACAGTTGCGATTCGCATATCATTGATAAAAATAACTGACAAAAATACATCTGCATCAGATGTTAGCCTGGGCGTAGAACAGTGATGATAAAAGAAAACGCAGGGGATGGCAGCTTAGAGTGCACAATTATATACCTCACAATGATGCTACAATTAGTCCCATATGATATGAGAACATGTTTAAATTCAGTAATTCGGTTTATACAAACCTGCTCGCATAGAAGTTATCCGTCAGAGGGCTCTTGGGACGTAACATGTTTCGCCAGTAATCCAAAGTCGGTTCAATTACGTTGGTCTGAAGATCGAGACAAATATGAGTAATTAGTTTGCGATACATTTCAACCAAAAACAGGAATCTAAAGATTTTTCTAGCGGTCCAGAGTAGAACATCCAAAGCCAAGTTACAACAACCATATTTATTACTTCTCAACACAAGAAAATTCCAATTCACCGCTGTTTTTAGTCAATGCCGCAAAAAGTCATTCTAATCACATGGTATTACGTTCATAGTAAATTTTAAACATAAACGTGGTTTTTTACAATAAGGCATATACAGCAAAGATACATTCATCAAAACTTCACTCATAATCAGCAACTTACCACAAGTGTGTCGTAGTTTGAAAGACTTTTAAACAAATTCGTATAGTAAGTTTTGATTCGCAACTGGCTTGATATGGCTGATCTGGCAAGCATCAAATTTGAATTGTGAAAGAAAAGCTA